GCGGAACCTTTACAGACCCATATGAAGTGGTGTCACAACTGGAGCTGAAACATTCAAGACCAACTCCTCAAGTGGCGCTTCTGAACTGGATCTGAAACATTCGAGAGTAACTCATTATAGGAAGTGGTGCATCACAACTCATTAAAATTGGATTTTGCACCTCTGAACTGGATCTGAAACATCAAAAGACTAAATCATCGTTATAGGAGGTGGTACATTTCAAAATAGAGTCTTGATTTTAGTTTCTCAATGATCCTTTGGTAGTGATACGCAGATCGTTATAAACCTCTACAAAATGTAATTGCACGACAGAGGTCCATAACACATAATCCTTGCACTGACTATTGTGCTAAATAATGGTCAAACGAAGACAGTGTATCTGAAAACCTGAAGCTTCGAGCTATTGAATATGTATCTCTATATGTGATACAGAGATCAGACTTCCAGACGACCTCAGCTGACACTACAACTGCCTTTCTCCACTACTTGGAAAATTCGAACTAGCAAAATACAACCCTATATCTACTGACCAAATTATTCACAGAGAAAGTCCAGCACAGCATGGCTTTCTCAGAATGGAGCCCGTATGACCACGGATAGTTGCAACGTGTAACCCATGTCCAGGCACCTTGGTCGCATAGGTATAACCTACAATTGTAGAAGGACATGTTTACATTCAATAAAAGTCACCGTGACTATAGAAACTATATGGAGTTAAAGTAGCGCCGAGTTTACACCATCATATTGAAAAGTGATTCTGTCTCGAAATATAATCTGCTTCGTCTATTTTCTGAAGTTTTGCAGGTTTAGCCGCAAATTCAACGAGTTCCGTGTGGCACAATGGAGGCCACTTTCCTTTTGCGGAAATCAAGTATCCTTTAGGTTATAATTACCTTTCCATATGATATATTTTTAGAGTTGGATTTTTTCTTTGTGTTTGTGTTCTTTGTATTTTCGTGGCAACATACAATGCCGGGCAAAAGAAAGTATGCACCGATGTTTCATGGTGACTTAAAATGAAACAAGAAATGGTTATTCGATGGTGCTGGTTTTGATACGGTGATCATAGTTGTGTTTTAGGCCTTAAGTTTACAATGTTCACAGCCTAGTAACGTTTTGATAACGTTTGTAATTAATTGGTCAAGTCCACTTTCCAAGTGTATATAAGTGTTCTCTGTGGAAACAGGCATGGTTTCATCTCTCATTAAGGTGAGGTGACTCACTTATAGAGCGACATGCATGCACGTGTATGGGTGACTGCTGGTACTAGCCCCGAGTAATGCCGGTTTTACATTGCTAGCCCACTGAGATATCATGCTCCACTCCGACACCGTGTACTGCCTACGAACCGCCTTGTGTTTGTCTTTTATGCATTCTTTCATCAATGAACATATTGGCTTCGGATCTGTATGTAAATAACATCAGAGATAAATAACATCATGAAAACAGTGCAACAGTATTATTTAAGAGTCAGCTAAACTGAACAAGAACGCAGTAAAAGCGATGTTTTTATTTCCACTTTAAATACATGCTCTCTAGACATACGTGTATAATGTGAACTAAATAGAAAGGTAGTTATAGACATACAAAGCAGCAATAGTTCAGCAAGTCTTTCTTACAGTTTATGTACAATAAAACTAAGTAATTCTTAAAACCTGGACAAGACGACTTACGTCGTCGGGGTACGATAATACTCATCAACCAGGATACCGAGGCTGGCCACCAGATGTATATATTTACCTCATACAGCAAGCATACAATGTAGGTAACTGTGGACTTATTCAAAACCGGGGGAAACACATAAACATACATCACTCTAAACTTAGTTAAGATTTGCCAACATATCAACACATTTAGGTCAACTGCAGTATTTGGGTCCCCACTTCGTGGGTTTCCGTAAGGAAACCGCTGCCTTCGGCAGCTTCGCTTATATATAAGCGCGCACGCGCTAGCGCGCCGAAATCCGTTAGGAAGCATTTTTGTGCAAAAAGGACCCCAAAAATGAGCAGGACGTGAAAAGTATGGTCTAAAACTCCGCCCCTAAGTGGGACGAGAGTTTTACGATAGAAAGTAAAGCCGTATTCTCGTGGTGTCGACTTCGTGTTGTTTGTGGGCGGGACATAAATGACGTAAGACATCACGTGTCTGATCATGTGACATTCCTTATATGGACTCGTTACTACGAACGTCACTACGCTCGTAGTACATTGCACGGCTGGTAAGTCTTCTATTTTTGTCACTTTGCTCAATTACTTTTCAAGAATGTCTGACAGTAGGATTGTGTATGATGATTTGTATGAATTGTGCAGGGATAAGGGGAGACTTTTGGACTGGTTAGAGGATGTAGGCGTCATAGGACAGTTTGGAGGGCCTTGCTGTGTGAGAATGGTGTGATAAGCAGGAGGAGGGGCAGCAGTAGGAGTGAGGGGTATGTGTGGAGGTGTAGTAATAAGAGGTGTCATCACAAGATTTCTGTGAAGCGTTCTTCCTGGTTTTATAATTCTAATTTGTCCATTCCTGACATTTTGAAAATTACATTTTATTGGGTTTACAGGTCTAGAGAAGATTTTGTTAAAGTTCAGTTGAAACTTGGTTCTGATCACACTTTGGTTGATTGGTATAATTTTTGCAGAGAGGTTTGTTTGGAAATTTTGGAAGGAGAGAATGAGGCTATTGGGGGACCTGGGGTAGAAGTAGAGATTGATGAATCTAAATTTGGGAAAAGAAAGTTTCACAGGGGGAGGAGAGTGGATGGTGTTTGGGTGTTTGGTGGGATTGAAAAGAATTCTAGCAAGATGTTCATCACTGCTGTTGAGAAAAGAAATTGCGAAACATTGATCCCAATTATTAAAAGATTTATTAAACCGGGATCAATCATTCATTCGGACTGTTGGAAAGCTTATGACTGTTTGGAATCTTTGGAGGGGATGGGGTACATACATAAAAAAGTTAACCACAGTGTAGAATTTGTAAATTCAGAAACAGGGGCATGTACAAATAAAATAGAGTCAAATTGGAGAGCGGTGAAGGCATCTTTGCCTAGGTACGGAACGAGTGAGTGAGTGAGTTTGATTTTAGGCCGCTTTTAGCAATATTCCAGCAATATCACGGCGGGGGGACACCAGAAATGGGCTTCACACATTGTACCCATGTCGGGAATCGAACCCGGGTCTTCGGCGTGACGAGCGAACGCTTTAACCACTAGGCTACCTGACCGCCCCCAGGTACGGAACGAATAAAGGACTGTATGATAGTTATTTTGTTGAGTACATTATCAGAAAAAAATATTTAAGTTGTTCAGTTGATCCTTTTATTCAGTTTCTTAAGTTCATCAGCCGTGTTTATAGTCCAGTGCGGCCATCCGATATCGGAGAAAAAGAAAATGTTAATCAATTGGATGGTTCGGCAGAACTTTTTGACGAAGAGGAAGAATCCAATGCTTTCGACGCGTCAGCGGATCTCTTTGATTGAGTGAGTAATGGAACATTCTATGAATATTCATAATATGCATTCATGAATGAACTTACCGTAGTGCAATTTATTTGAGCAAATCCGAACCGATTTACGCCCGTTTTTACTTTAAATTTTGAAAAAAGGGGGGTGTAACCCTCCTTTACCCCCCGTCTTTTCTCTTAGAATTTGTAAAAAAGGGGGGTTTCACCCCCCTTTACCCCCCTTTTTCACCTAAAACATTCCACAGCGTTCGGTGGGGTACAAAAAATGGCGGCCTATTTTCCTCTCGCTTCGACCGTAAATAACGAAGTGCGCATGCGTGGAACGTTTTTCATTCGACAACTTCCGTAAACACGTAAAAACGTTCGTTCCGAAGTTGGGACCCAAATACTGCAGTCTACCCACACATTTTAGCACGTTTCCATAAAAATATATATGTACACTGATATATAACACGTCCTGTTTTTTTTTTTTTACAGCGATGTTGCAAAACTACTGTGAAATTGAATTTTCCGAAATTCTCTTCATGCATATTACATTTTGTATGCATTTATTTGTTTTCTCCTTCCTTCTTTATTCTTCTCAGGAGGTACAGCATATATATACATGTCATGTCAATAAAATTGTTGGATATGGTATTCAAGAAGTGTACAGCTTTTCATACTTATAGATTCTTACATACATACATATAAAATACTGTATCAATGTGTTTTACAGACTGGGATTCATACAAAGTGTGGAAGAAAGGCCAGACACTAAAAACGTGTGTAAATGACATTACCTTTGTAGCATTGTGATTATATAATTTTCTCATGTTGTATGTGTTCAAAATGTGGCATTAATCTTTTCCTACATTGTCTGTATATTACTTGTTTTGTTATTAAAAGTACAATATTTAATTGGTGTTGTGTTCGCCTTGAAATCCAAACAAAAGATTTTCCCTGTTTAAATCAATGGTTTTTTTCCAAAGGTATATTTCTCCCAAATCTTTCTTACATGTTTACAATCATATAAAATACGGATTTTAGTTTCCGGTTGATTTGGACAGAAAGTACACAAAGGAGAGTCAACATATCCAATATATATATAATATAAATATTTGTTAGTTGTAAGAATGTAGTAAATAATCTTAAACTGAAACCATCTTATATCTTCACTTTGAGTGCATATCATATTATATCCAACTTAATATGTGAGGTTTGTGGTTAACATTTAATTCAAGGGCGACAACCCGTCCTGGAAAGTTTCTCGGTACTCTTGTGTTGAGGTAATCGATATCAGCACAGTGTGACTTGTCACAGATGTATTGGTTGGTTGGTTGGTTTGTTGTTTAACGCCACACTCAGCAATATTCCAGCTATATGACGGCGGTCTGTAAATAATCGAGTCTGGACCAGACAATCCAGTGATAAATATCATGAGCATCGATCCACGCAATTGGGATCGATGACATGCATCAACCAAGTCAGCGAACCTGACCACCTGATTCCGTTAGTCGCCTATTACGACAAGCATAGTCACCTTTTACGGCAAGCATGGGTCGCTTAAGACCTATTCTACCCCGGAATCTTCACGGGTCTCTTGTGTTGAGGTAATCGATATCAGCGCTGTGTGACTTGTCATAGATGTATTGACAGTGGGACATGGCCAGTTGGAATGCATCGATAGTATATTACTTTACTTCCTCATATACATGCAATTCTTCATAATCCTCTTCGGGGACGTCTCTGTCCTGTCTGTCTACAGCAGGGGAGAGGTAATACGGGTGTATCGAGTCATAACCGTTCTGTGGGTTAATGTCATCCCTTCTGTAGCGAACAGCGTACCGATCCCTGCCATCCGGTACGTGTCTGTGGTGGTTGTGGGTGTTCCGGTTTCTGCGGAAGAGATAATTGTCAATGGAATAAAGAGCAATTAGACAATAAAGTGTTTTCAATGTGTTACTGTCAATATAAAGTGAGTGAGTGGGTGAGTATGGTTTTATGATGTATTTAGCAATATTTAAGCAATATCACGACAGGGGACACCAGAAATGGGCTTCACATAATGTATCCCTGTCGGTCATCGAACCCAGGTCTTCGGCGTGACGAGCGAACGCTTTAACCACTAGGCTACCGTACCGTATGCTCACCATACCATACTCACTAACTCACTTTGATGCCACGCTGCTTGCACCACTACAGTATAAAAGCAAAAGTACGTATACTCTATTTTAAGTAAAAATGTCAATAACACAGTTTTAAGATGCATGCGTTGTGTGTCTGTCCAACGCTGTTTTGTGAAAATAGTTGTGTCTGTCGGGAGAAGAGCAGACGTTGCAGAGTACAGTTGCACAGTGCTACCTACGTTCCCATTCGAATGAGCAGATGATGCCAAAATGGTCCTTGATGTTATATTAAAAAGGTGTACTCTTCACTGTGAATAATATACACCTCGTCAAAAGTATCGCACCACCAAGTGTTTGTATAATCACAACAGAAATGAGTAAGGAGAAGCTGGAAAGCGAAAGAAAAGCAAACAAAATTGTTAGGTGATGTCAAATAAGAAGTTTATTTTATGAATAAGAGAAATATGTGTGCATACGCAAAGAAAAGAAGCATTTTTCTATACTACAAGTGTTGTAACTGGGGATATACAGACACAGTTTCAGTATAGTAACTGTCAGAAATGGGACGATCAACAGGTACGTGTCTTCGTAACGTTGTACCCATGTCACAGTTAAATTATCAACAGTGTAAGTCAATATCTGTTGGTCGCGGTCGGATAGCCTCGTGGTTATAGCGTTTGCTCGTCACGCCGAAGACCCGGGTTCGATTCCCGACATGGGTACAATGTATGATTCCCATTTCCGGTGTCCCCTGCCGTGATTTTGCTGAAAAATTGTTAAAAGAGCGTAATATCAAACTCACTCACTCACTCACTCCCTGAATACCTGGTGGAGCCACCCCATACAGGTAATTTCAGGGAGGTTCTGTCACTGGACGGGCCCTTGTGCTTACCCTGCGTCCCATCTGATCCATCAATGGTCTCAATGGCGTTATTTCTGGAGATGGTCATCACAGCTCGTGCTCGATAAGGTCTGACATTGTCGTCCGTGAAGACAGGGCGTGTGGCTAGTACGTGGTTATCAAAATGTGGCACAATAAAGCCAATATGGTATCTTAGTACCTTTGTGCATTTAATGTCCCCTGGACTGGGCCCTGTTCCACAAAGCGATCGTAGTGCAAAGATGATCGTAACTCCCATACCTTAACATAGGCTTACGGCAGTTGTAGTGCCAAGATCGCTTTGTGGAACGGGGACCTGTTCAGATCAAGTTTACAATCAAAGGAGCAACATCCCCATACTATCACTGAGCCACAACCACATGCCACTGTTTCCTGGATGTTGCGCTGATGATAACATGTTCCCCTTTGCCTCCAGGCACGAGTCGTACCATCAGTGTGGTGCAATAACCACCGTCAGACCAATGACTCCTCCTCCTCCATGACCTCAAGTTCCAGTGTGCTCGAGCCACATTCTTAACGGCCCCTCGCGTGTTGGCGTGAGAGGAGTGCATTTGCTATTGGTCTTCCGGCCCTTCCAGCCCTTAATCCTGCTGCATTCAATCGACGCCCGGTAATGCTAAGGGACACTCTGTTGTGGGTAGGCCAGTCATGGCGAAGAACAGTGCAAGTTGAAGTTGGCAGCCGTTTTGCCTGGCGAACATCGGCCATGTTCTCCCTTGCACTGGTCTTCTTGGCACGTCGGTCACATGTCCAGTCAATGTCTGTTTGTGAATGTGTTGAATGATTACAGTATATTAATGTTCAACATGGTGCCAATATCCCGACATGACATGCTAGTGTAGTGCATGCAAATAATTTGCCATCTTTGATTTTCTTGGATCGTACGTATTTCAATTACAATCTTTCCAGACAGACTTTCAAATTGGTAGAACATTCATTCACAATTAATGGCAGTAAAGACCAATGAACGTTCTGTCATCACACTTCTCTACAGAGACCCCTCAGGTGTGCATACGGCTCGCATCAGCGCATCCTACATAGTGTGATGGACGGATTGGGTATACATAGGCCCACACACAAGGTACGCCACACCATATACCCCTTGAGATCAGTTGACAACTTATAGTGTACCATTTGCAAATCTCTACATTGAAAAGGAACTCGCAATTACACTTCAAATTTGGTGGTGCGACACTTTTAACGAGGTGTATAATCCCTCATATTAATGTCATATATAAACTTACTCACTATTTAAAAGAGCATATGAAGGAGAAGCGCATTTTGTGCGCATTTTGAGAAGCACATCACAACGGCTAAGAAAAAGGCAGCATATTATTGAAAAAGAAATTTGAAAAATTATTGAGGTTGTTACTAACGATTTAATAATACTAATACATATTTTGTTGAACTTAATGCAACATGGTAGAAATCATATATAATTTCTTGCAGACCACCTCGTGTATTGTGACTATCAAGAGTGGTATCTGCATGAGGTTTTTTCAGTTCAGTAGAAGACAAAGTTCATACTTGGAGCGCCAAAGCAGGCCAGCAGCGATGATGGTGGCAACAACAATAATGGATGTCACCAACATTCCGGCTACGATGGCGTTGGTATTGTCTGTCATAACACAATAAGAACATGAACATGTACAAATATACGAAGTAAACTATTGGACGCATCCTTTACAATCTTTTTTTTCTCTTCTCTTTAACACCCAAACTCCACATAGTCGTTCATGAGTACACTGTTTGTGTCAGTAGTAGTATTTGTGATTCTTTATATTCATTTGAAATAGCGCAGTATCTACAGTCTAATCCGTCTACCGTTTACCTTTGGATGTTCGGAATTGAAATACTGGACTCTTGTTACAGCCTGTCTTCGTGCACGCAACAGCAAGGTAGCTGTAAACAAACGGCACCAATGTATGTTAAAAGGTCGTCTATAACTTTCTTCAGCAAACATTACCGTGGTGTAAGTATGTAGAAGTAGTCATTGCTTTTCATTTGCAGGAATTTCATTTCAAATTTTTCCTTTACCTCATGCACTTTCCCGACAAAGACTAATTACTGTTCTTCAAAGTTACTGAAACCGCTTGCTCAATGACGGACCGGCGATGTAATTGAACAATGAAAAATGTGTTGTTTGAATTTATCATTTTTTATCACTGAAATTAGATGGTAATGGAGTTAATTAGCGTGGTGTTTCATTGCAGAGTTCAGAGTATTATGCTTTCTTTTCACAAATGATTCACGTACTAGTATTCTGTGTCGGGTGCCAGCCTTCTCTTACAATAGCCAGCCGTACAGTCTTTGATGAACCCGCCTGAAACAAGGTTTGGGTGAGTGAAAACTGGCACCAAGGAAACTAGGTAATATTTTAGATAATAACACAGTCATTGTATTCAACAACATTCCATGTAATTTTTTACAAAGTAATATTATTTGCAGATGGCATAACTATTAAGCTATTAAGTATTTGGAGGATTGTGTTGGATGATAGGGACATCGGGAACGTTTACATGTCAAACGCAAAGGAAAATATGTCTGAAATATGATACAGTGGAGAGAAAATGTTTACCATTACAACACTCGATTTTCGTTGCCCTCACATCCCCAGATTGACGATCTGAAATGTTCGATTGAGTCATACCATTAATTATTGGTTATCTTACTTCATAGCAACGTCTTAAAACACAAAAAGTTAACACAAGAATACTGTTGTTGTACATGTATTACGTACCTGGTACTTCCAACGTTTCTGTTTTGGTTGATATGTACAAGCGACCTTTTGTTATGGCACCATTCTTACTGTTATTAAAAAAATCAATGCGTTTTATTTTGATGAAATTTTCAGTGACCTCAAAGGATGGTTGCAGGCCATACGGCCATTCTGGAGGAACTGCAATATAAAGAATACAAGAGCATCAAAGCGTTGCACATTCAGTGTATCATTACATGTGTTACATGTTACATGTGTTATAAGAGAGGCAGAGGACTTGCTCAAAAGTTGTTTGATCAGGGTTTACAGCATTCACGACCCCGGTAACGCTTAAGTTTCTAAAGGTTTATTCAAGACTTGGTTCGCCTTTGCTTTTGTTAGTGGCGGGAACCACCAGTGGGACAAGATAAGCTCTTCTTTTCGCGATCACTTTCTGGCACGTGTCGATAGTCATTCATAAACACATGCATATTATATGGTCAGAATCATACAATGGTGTCTGATTTAAGAGATTTATATTATTATGGAAATGTTTTTTCTCGCTTAAAAGCGAAATTAATGATTATGAAAAGGGTTTTACATCAAGGTATGGTGTAGGTATAATTATGTAATTCTTCCGTGACATTTTACCACCTTGCAGCTTCATTGATCTACTTATGGTATTGATTTTACGTTAGATTTTGCTCATGATCGCATAACCGCGAACATAAATGTTCAGAAGGACTCCTTTCGAAAACCCTACCCTGTACTGAAGTTACTTCATAAACAGAGCTCAGTTTTTTGTGTTGCGGCATGTCTTTCACGTCACAATTCTTGAGTGTCCTGTCTGTAGAACATTTTATGACCTCATAATAGTAATGTGTAATTTTTCGCTAGGGAAGACAGTTTGAATAATGCTTTCATGATACCCGCTAGAGATGAAAAATCAAAACACAGTAGGTTTATCTTCTGAATAAACAACGTCAACGTCAGAGAATAACTAGTCTCAACTGTCCGCCGAACATTGTTTGTGAAAGACCAAATCAAGGTGAAAATCAGCGATGTCACCAGGTGTTCGCAAAAAACGTAATCATGTCCTGCCCTACCGATAGCGACCGCCACTCACACATTAACACATTAACAATTAACACCTGATTTTATAATGAGTTACTCTCAATGATAATACCTAGTTGTGGCATTTGTAAATGTACTAATATTGACATGTCGTCTGTTATCAGGTTCTGTACACTTTGTGGTACATCAAGTACAGTACATGTGAACAAGACAAAGCAGTAGTTGATGCCATGGCAACCACCCACACACTCAGCCAGGTCCCACACATGTAGGGTAACCACGAGGGGTGACCATAATCTGGAGAACAACAAATGAACAACATACCTCCGATAGGTGCAAGGCACGACGAATTTGCGGACACATTGTAGAGAGTACCATTGTGATTTACTTGAATCTGCATATGACACAAGTGTATGTGAACAGGCGTTTGTATTATCCTGCAGTACAAAGTGTCATTTAAAAGATTGTATCAAAGGTATTCATTCACAGCAAACATATACTAACGATTTAATTTGTGTTTTCCTTTGAGCTTGAAAAACAACGAAAAGGGGAAGTAATCAGTTCGTGTTATACTTCTCATCATGGCAGTGTCATGTTTTCATTGATTTATTGATGATAAGTCAGTCTTCCGTAAAGACAAACGAAATAGACAACTTATGTTTTAAACATCAGCTGTGAAATAGGTTCATCGATGTGTACGACTGGGTGCTCTAATAAGGTCCTCACCTTGAAAGTATACCTCGAACCTGGAGTTAAAACAATCAGGACATTGTAGCCTGATCCCGCGCCATTTGCCTCTGATGTGATATTGCGCTTCTGAAATAGGGTTTTGAAGTAAAAACACAAGCAGGAAGTAATTGAGAGTACATATTGGATAAAAATACTCAATTTCAAAAGTAATTGTTTTCATTTAGTTGCTCATTTCAAAGTAGGGTGATATCTACAAGGCATCCTGCTCTGTAAATAAATCAACAATGAATGTACTCACTTTCCCGTTAGTGACAAGTATATAGCTGGTTATCGGTGTGCCAATCTGTGGCTTTGACCATACTATTGTCATCTGCCTGTAGTTTCCAACGTTGTTGGATTGATGCCCAGATTTCCGGCAGTCACCGTCTGCTGTGACGATCTTGAATTCAAGGAAATGAACTGAAATCAGATATTGTTATTAATAAAAGACTTTACGATCATGATCAGGGACCACATGAACAATGATTAAGAATAGCAGTTTGGAAAACTGTATCTTTACGAGAAGTATCTTACATGTTAAACATTTGCAAATAATTCGGAGACTGGGTATTTTGACTAAAGAAACTAACGTGAAATACACATTTTAAAATTAATTGACATATAATAGGAAAATAAATTTCAATGTTAACACATTACTTTCCATGCTTGTCAGACTGTTCTGATTTCCTTCGCCAGCTGTGGTAAATGGTTTTACCCCAAGAGTGTACTTCAAAAAATACTTTACATCTTCTTTCTTGTAACATATTGATGTCGCTGCAACATACATGTGGATGAAATATACACCTTGCACAAGTGGTTCATTGAAAGCAATCATATGCAAGCACACTTACATAATTGCACTGTTGTTTAAAACTAATGAAATTAGAGAGCTACTTTACAAGTTCAGTTTTATTTACTGACGTTCAACACAACGTATTTGCCTCAAGATATGTGATTTGTATCACTAAGGATTAATTCAATTTTGTAAAATCTCAAGGGATTGTATGTTAGTTTACATCTATAATATTATTTACCATGGCAGTGTGAAAATAAAATGGCATACCGCTGATATTGGATGCTTTTGCAACGATACTGTTGACTTCATCAAATATTTCTACCCTGTATGTGACAGGCCCTGGGTGTGGTTGGGGAGGTTTCCACTTTGCACACACGAGACATCCCTTATCTGCACATGTAGTCAAGTTTCCTACAGCGTTGGGAACTTAAAACAGAATTGAAAAATTATACAAATAAAATTAATCTATATACTAAACCCTGAAGCTGTTACGATCGCCTACAGTTAAATAAAATGTGTATAAACGTGTTTATGATATTTAGCTCACAGATGCCTCAAGTAATTTGGTTATGTAAATTGTGTAAAGTTAATATCATCACAAATAATTTTCGAATTGAAATTACAGGAATAATCGCAAACATACCAAATAACTTTGATTACTGAATGAAAACATGAGTACACGTGCATTACAAAATGAGCGAAACTGTTGTCGATTACATTTAGACCAGCAACTAATAATATCTAATATTATAACTTAGTATTGCTGGCATGTCGTATACCTGCTGAAGTAGTTCGCGCTGATTTATTTGCTGGGCGACTGCTTTCAAGACTCCCATTGTTGCACTTTTCCATTACCACCTTGAATTCATATGTGGTGAAGGGCTTCAACCCTGTCACATTGTATTCTATGTGCCAGTCTGTAGATGGCTCGACGACATTAACTTGTTGACACTGTGAACAAGACATATAGATATATTTTCCTATTTCACACTGCCCACATAAGTAATGGTTGATTAAATATTGCATAAACTCTGATTCGCTTAAAATACTGATTGTTATAATATTTAATATTAAGATATATACCTGCGCCAGTGTCTAATAATGCAATACCAAAAGGCTGTGTTTATATCAAACATTTCACTGGCCTCCTGTATGTATTCGTCATGTAACAACATTTTCAGTCAAAGCTCATACCTCACTACAAACTTCCTGTGATGAATAACTTCGGAGGACAACGCACTTTGGAGGATCTGAAGAGTTGTAATCAATCCTGAACGTGTTGTAATCCAGGGGTCCATCAAATGCTACAAGAATTGATGACGATGTCTGACCAGAAACGACTAGATTCTTCACTCGTCTTTTCTCTGTACAATATATATTGTTGTTCAATAGTAATACAGCATTATTGGAATTTTTCGGTAATATAAAACGGCAAAGCGAGAGAATAAAGGGCAAAATATCTGTGACAATTATTATGAATGAACCACTGAAAATCAGTGACAACACCTGGTGTTTGCGAACAGGGGACGCATGTCCTGCCCAACCGGTAGCACCCCCAGTTAACGCAATTTATATTTAAAAGAGTAAATATTTATAGCCTGACACCGTCACAGCAGTACGCCTGCCATGCGACGGAGGTCTGTAAACAAAGGAGACAAAATCAAGTGACCGATAAACCATTTACTGATTTCATTGAAACTAATTTATTTTGAATGGGGTCCGCTGGACACAAGTGCAGTGATTCAGCTGCTTAAAAGCAAAGCAAAACGTTTAAGAAATATGTGCGCTTTGCAACACAATGGGTGCAGTTTTAATGTCTCGGCCTAAACATTTCTTTTGTAACTGACTCAGCATAGATAGATGATAAATATAATTATCAATTTATATTTAGTCTTCCCACTAACGTAATCATTAGTATTACCTTTTATCGTACAGGAAGATCCATCTATCATGAACCCGTGTTTACACCGACATGTGCTGGATTTACATTCGGCGTTCTCCACACACATGCTGTTACTGCAGTCTTCACCTGGTAAAGCTCCTGAAAGACACAACATGCACTCGTATTATAATTAGTTGGATTGAAGTTCATAGGCATGTGAATAGTTAATCAGAGTTAGTATCTCATCAAGATTCCTGTATACTGAAAGAATGACGTCATGGGTTATAACAGAGCGATGTATATAAAAATGACATTATGAAAATGACTAATAAGAGTTAAACTGTAATAACCATGACATTATGCACACAAATTATCATTATCATACATATATTTTACAAAAACATATGTGTACAGATTGAAGATTGTTTTCCTACGAAGGAAAAGTGGTCGTCAAAAGCAAATTCACGTAACAAGTTGGGACACATCATAGTCATTATGAGAAATTACAGTATGCAAATACAAACTTCATTTCAAATTAGTTTCACAAAGTGAGTCGAACGTGAAGCACATACAAATATAGGGGCTTAACATTATCCAGCTGCTACAGCAATACCAAGGTCATGTGTTATCATATCCATAAGGAACACTTTTGGAAGATCTCTCAGTGTTACTACGATCGCTACTTTATCACCTCAAAGTAACACTACGACCACTACTGTAACACCTCAAAGTACCACTACACCCACCACTGTAACACCTCAAAGTACCACTACGACCACCACTGTAACAACTCAAAGTACCACGACGAGGAAGACTGTAACACCTTAAAGTACCACTACGACCACAACTGTAACACCTCAAAGTACCACTACAACCATCACTGTAACACCTCAAAGTGGCATTACGACCACTACTGTAAAACCTCAAAGTAACACTACGAGGAAGACTGTAACATCTCAAAGTACCCCAACGACAACAACTGTAACACCTCAAAGTACCACTACGACCACTACTGTAACACCTCAAAGTACCACTACGAGGAAGACTATAACACCTCAAAGTACCACTACGACCACTGCTTTAACACCTCAAAGTACCAAGACGACCACTAGTGTCACACCTCAAAGTACCACTACGACAACAACTTTAACACCTCAAAGTACCACTACGACCACTACTTTAACACCTCAAAGTACCAAGACGACCACTAGTGTAACACCTCAAAGTACCACTACGACAACAACTTTAACACCTCAAAGTACCACTACGACCACTACTTTAACACCTCAAAGTACCAAGACGACCACTAGTGTAACACCTCAAAGTACCACTACGACAACAACTTTAACACCTCAAAGTACCACTACGACCACTGCTGTAACACCTCAAAGTACCACTACGACCACTGCTATAACACCTCAAAGTACCACGACGATCACTGCTGTAACACCTCAAAGTACCACTACGACCGTCACTGTAATACCTAAAAGTACCACTTTGACAACTGCTGTAACACCTCAAACTACCACTACGACCATCACTGTAACACCTAAAAGTACCACTTTGACAACTGCTGTAACACCTCAAAGTACCACTACGACCACTGCTGTAACACCTCAAAGTACCACTACGACCACTGCTATAACATCTCAAAGTACCACGACGATCACTCCTGTAACATCTCAAAGTACCACGACGACCACTACTGTAACACCTCAATGTACCGCTACGACCCTCACTGTAACACCTCAAAGTACCACTACGACCACCACTGTAAAACCTCAAAGTACCACTACGACCATCACTGTAACACCTCAAAGTACCATTACGACCACTGCTGTAACCCTTAAAGTAGCACTACGACCATCACTGTAACACCTCAAAGTACCATTACGACCACTGCTGTAACCCTTAAAGTAGCACTACGACCATCACTGTAACACCTCAAAGTACCATTACGACCACTGCTGTAACCCTTAAAGTAGCACTACGACCATCACTGTATCACCTCAAAGTAGCACTACGACCACCACTGTAACACCTCAAAATACCACTACGACCACCACTGTAAAACCTCAAAGTACCACTACGACCATCACTGTAACACCTCAAAGTACCATTACGACCACTGCTGTAACCCTTAAAGTAGCACTACGACCATCACTGTAACACCTCAAAGTACCATTACGACCACTGCTGTAACCCTTAAAGTAGCACTACGACCATCACTGTAACACCTCAAAGTACCATTACGACCACTGCTGTAACCCTTAAAGTAGCACTACGACCATCACTGTATCACCTCAAAGTAGCACTACGACCACCACTGTAACACCTCAAAATACCACTACGACCACCACTGTATCATCTCAAAGTAGCATTATGACCATCACTGTATCACCTCAAAGTAGCACTACGACCACCACTGTAACACCTCAAAGTACCACTACGACCACCACTGTAAAACCTCAAAGTACCTCTACAAGGAAAACGGTACCCCCTCAAAGTAGTACTACGACCATCACTGTAACTCCTCAAAGTACCACTAGGACCACTACTGTATCATCTCAAAGTAGCATTATGACCATCACTGTATCACCTCAAAGTAACACTACGACCACGACTGTAACACCTCAAAGTACCACTACGACCACCACTGTAAAACCTCAAAGTACCTCTACAAGGAAAACTGTACCCCCTCAAAGTAGTACTACGACCATCACTGTAACTCTTCAAAGTAGCATTACGACCACTACTGTAACACCTCAATGTACCACTAGGACCACTACTGTAACACCTCAATGTACCGCTACGACCATCACTGTAACACCTCAAACTACCACTACGACCATCACTGTAACACCTCAAACTACCACTACGACCACTGCTGTAACACCTCAAAGTACCACTACGACCAGCACTGTAACACCTCAAAGTACCACTACGACCATCACTGTAACACCTCCAAATACCACTACGAGGGAGACTGTAACACCTCAAAGTACCACTACGACCATCAGTGTAACACCTCAAATTACCACTACGAGTAAGACTGTATTACCTCAAAGTAGCACTACGACCATCACTGTATCACCTCAAAGTAGCATTACGACCACTGCCGTAACACCTCAAAGTACCACTACGACCATCAGTGTAACACCTCAAAATACCACTACGAGGAAGACTGTAACACCTTAAACTACCACTACGACCACTGCTGTAACACCTCAAAGTACCACTACGACCAGCACTGTAACACCTCAAAGTACCACTACGACCATCAGTGTAACAACTCCAACTACCACTACGAGGGAGACTGTAACAGCTCAAAGTACCACTACGACCATCACTGTAACACCTCAAAGTACTACTACGACCAGCACTGTAACACCTCAAAGTACCACTACGACCATCAGTGTAACACCTCAAAATACCACTACGAGGAAGACTGTAACACCTTAAACTACCACTACGACCACTGCTGTAACACCTCAAAGTACCACTACGACCATCAGTGTAACAACTCCAACTACCACTACGAGGAAGACTGTATCACCCCAAAGTACCACTACGACCATCAGTGTAACACCTTAAACTACCACTACGACCACTGCTGTAACACCTCAAAGTACCACTACGACCATCAGTGTAACAACTCCAACTACCACTACGAGGGAGACTGTAACAGCTCAAAGTAAGACTACGACCATCACTGTAACACCTCAAAGTACTACTACGACCAGCACTGTAACACCTCAAAGTACCACTACGACCATCAGTGTAACACCTCAAAATACCACTACGAGGAAGACTGTAACACCTTAAACTACCACTACGACCACTGCTGTAACACCTCAAAGTACCACTACGACCATCAGTGTAACACCTCAAAATACCACTACGAGGAAGACTATAACACCACAAGGTACCACTACGACCACTACTGTAACACCTCAAAGTACCACTACGGCCATCACTGTAACACCTCAAAGTACCACTACGACCACTGCTGTAACACCTCAAAGTACCACTTCGACCATCACTGTAACTGTTTACAGATCATTGCCATACACTGAGACTGACATTCTATAACTATAAGAACATTGTGCTTGTTAATCTACTACTTATTTCTGTTTCTGGATTAAAACATGCGTGCATCAGCTTCGAGTGGTTTGAAAGAGAAGACAAACAGCAGAAACACGTGTTAAAAATATCTAGGGATAAATATAATTATTTTTTTAAAATAAAACCTGCAAAAGAAGACTTCGGTGGTGTGTTAATTGATACAGGCAGGATTGAAAGAAATGTAAACGTATCACAGCTCGTCATCATCTATATCGATTACCCAAAGCTTTGACTGAGAACTGGGAACTGATTGAACATAAAAGTTAACCAATCTGTGGTTTTCAAATGAATAAAATAGTGTGTCTGATGCAGTATATTATATTACTTTAGGCACCGCTATAGACCGAACCATTTTCAGATGAAATCAGTAAGTGAGGTGAATATTAGTGAGATATGTACAGAACGTTAAGGTTATGTTAGGCATGTGCATGTGGTGTAATAAAGGCATGCGCAATGTGATATTGTAGTTAAACAGAAAGGTGTGGGTAGGCATGGTAATGTGAGGTGTTATATAAGGATGTGCAACGTGATAGTGTAGTGAAAAAGAAGGGTGTGGTAGTCGTGGTGATGTTGGAGTAATATAAGGATTATAAACGAAATGCCAGATACATGGGTTTTCTGCATTCACGACTCGCGTGGGATACACTGCCCATCCTTGAAGAATAAATCTGTCTGACATGTGCAGGTGTTATTGATACAATCAACGTTAACAACACATTCGCTGTTGTTGTTGCATCCTTCGCCCACCTGTACTCCTGTATAACGGACATACGGTAAAGACAATCAAACAGGGTCATCGTCGGTACAACGTTAACATGCTGTGCAAGATACAAGCATGTGTCACTTTATATACGTGTGTAAATGTTTGGAAAATTTATACATAGATTATTGTAACATGTTTTGTGATATCTGCTGGGTTTTTACTAAGGAAGGAGAATATTACATATCCCGAAAGAAATATTTTCACGTCTTTGGGCAAATCATAAACTTCTTTTCCTGCATGCACACAGAAACACAAATACGATCAAATTACACGAACATGTAAGAACATATTTCAGTACAATAATAACAATTGCAATGAAACCAATTGTTCATAGTAAAAATTACTAATGGTTCCATAGCATGTCACTGCATTCGGCAGTGTGTCAGAAATTAGGATGAGTTTGTGTACTAAGATAGTTTCCCTTTCCAGTCGCAATAACTTACTGGCTTCACATTGTTGACCCATCTGGTAGTAATCTCCAGGGCATGTACATACCGAGTAATTACACGTAGATGGCGCCATACAACGCGTGTCATTTGTACAATTGCCGCCAACTGGTATTGCTTGGAACAAACATAAACCACATAAAGCATATTATACAGTTCACCACTCGGCCAATGACTTTAAGACTGATTCACATTGTCTATATAAACATGATTAAGGTAATCATTTACGTATTCCTATTGCAGCAAGTACATGACTAACTCTCCAAAACGTAGGGGATACTTACCAATGGGTGGGAGGGTGGTGGTATTTTATCGAAATAAAAAGAAAGTGATTATGCTTCAACTGTTGATAACATATAGAAATTGTCTGCCTCGAAAATTACATTGTCACAGGACAGTACTACAAAGACCACCAATTGGCGCTAGTAGCCATGCTGGTCCACGTTATGGCTTTCATGAAGATAGCTGTCGTGCCCACTGTGCATGTATCGTAACTGGTTCCCTCCCACAGCACCAGGTTGCAGTGGCCAGCCATGAGCCATGACCGTTCCCACACAGAGCACGCCTGGGACATGATCATGAAATGTGTACGCCGACATCAAAGGCCCCATGCTACGTTAGCAGAACTGAGCCAGACTTACAAGGGGAGTGGACAAAACTCAAATTGTCATTAGGGATCATGCCACGCCGTACAAAAACGAATGTTTGACAAATCGTGGCGGAATGAGCCAAGTCATCTCAAAGGTTCACAATTTTTACTACATGCCCCTATCATATTTCATTGTTGTTTTCACAGTTTCAATTCACACCAACATGTCCTGTTATTTGGCACGTTACACCCGGGTCTTCCTATATCGTATCCATCATTAACATCACTCAATATACACTCTCTGTGTTTCTGTAATCATCTGTTTTCGAATATTCTACTATGTATTTTCGGAGAGTATTGTTTACTTTGCATTTGTCAACAGCTGTAGTGTACTATTGTAGATACTGGCCCACTTGGACAAAGCACTCGTGGCGTTACATCGATCAGACCTTGGATTTATCTCTGTAGGCCAGCGGGTTGAGGATATATACATACACACAGTAAGTATTGGGCCGGTTGTGTAAGTCCGATGTTAATAACAGGTCAACTCCTAACCATCTGTCAACTACTTGGTCAACGAGTTTACAATCTGTTCCAGATTGAAGACATTACCATGGTATTAGTTAATCACTTCGTTTAATCTAACCTTTGAGGTTAGATGCTGTTAATGTTAAAACCAGTCGAAAAAAGACACATGATGTTAAGCTATATCGGCTATACACATCACACCTTCGGCGTGTTTGATGTGAGCAATGTGAATGTATATACGTTTTTCTATCTCTTTTCTTTCCTTTCTGTCATTTGATTTATTAACTGTAAATAAGTATCCATGTAAATCTATGGGAGAGGGCGTTCCAAGTTGTGATAACTTGTGCCCAATCCTTTTCATGAGAATAAAATATGTTTCTTTTCTTTTTTAAATCTACACCTCCGGCGTCTAAGACAACTTCGAATCCGAGTCCGTGTTCCTCTTGTAGATTAAGAGAATTTGTCAAGATGGGGACAAATCCATTCCGTATTTTTTAAGAAAATTAGAGCAACCAAGGGAATTTTGATGAAAGGTGACACTTGAAAAATTAGTCAAAAAGAGATTACCATGAAAATATAAATTGTCATTGCAAGAAAAACAGCTTCCATTTGGCGTAAGTTGCAAAATAGCTGTGAAAATTATATGAATGGACCACTGAAAATCGGTGATAACACCAGGTGTTCGCGAAAGGGGTAAACATGTTTTGCAATACAGGTAGACCCGCCATTCACACAATTTGCATTAAGTAAGTAAGTGTTGCCTGACGCCACACAGCAGTACGCCTGCAATGCGACGGGGCCTGTAAACAAACCAGACAATCAAGTGTTTTATGAACCAGATAAAACAGTTTTATGGACTATGATTAACAGGATAACGTTACATATCGAGAGTATAGACAACATGAAGAAAACAAATACCAACAATAATAAGAACTACTGGCACAGATTGAACAAACACTATACAGATATAAGGGTTTTATGGTGAGCTCCTAGCTGTGGGACATGCAGTACTATACCTCCTGTATATGTTCCCAGCATACACCAGGTTGTCCGTCATGCTGTATAAATGGAGTACAGAATATACATGTGTTGTTCGTGAGTGAGTGATTCGTTCAGCTGCGCACTGGACAGTATTTCTGTTATATCATAGGTGTCGACTAAATGATGGAGAGCTCTAACGTGACATAAGCCGTTATATATAATATATATTTATAAACAAGTGATTTCATCAGGTGTTCATGTTTCTGAAAGATAATTATCAGCCCAGTTTCAATATTAGGACAGTGTGACTGTAGTATAATGGTTTATATATCAGGAATTGTAAATAACATGTAACATGTAAATATCCTATGTTATAGTTGCATCACTAAAAGTAAATGGAAATGACACAAATGCACAATACATAGCTGTAATGTGAATAGTATTGTACAAACGTACATGTAAGTAAAAGATATATGCGCCCCAATATGTAATACATGGTGATTATTGTCAACTTGTTTAAAAGACCGGAGAAAGTGACATATATCCATTTGGGCTTTATCGACTTAATGAGTAAATATGTTGTATATTTGTACATTCTGTATATATTTTGATATCGTGTTTATAACATAGACACGTATGTATGGTCATGCACGTGCATTGCCCACTCACAAGGCACACACTGTGTTCCCAGCCTGTAGGAGCCGAACGCGCATGTACACCGACTCATGATACAGAAGGCGCCGCGCCCACACTCCCGACTCAAGCGGCACCGACCTTACAATCAAGCACACGTTGTCATAACCTGGCATGTCGACAATGCGAAGGAGCAAATTACAAGTGGTTAAGGGTTAAGCACCTTTCCTTTATTGCGATATATTGCGAATAACTGATTAAGATCAATGGTAGATGTTTAAGATCAACCAATACCTGATGACAACTTGAATTTAGAGCCCTGTATCGTTCTCCAGATGGTTTCTTGGTCATATCATATGATGAGTGAGTGAGTGAGTTTGGTTTAACTTCGCTTTTAACAGAATTCCGGTCAAATCGCGGCATGCCAGCTTAATGTGGGAGGAAAGCCCGAAGTGATGCAGGTCTCAGACGTTTACAACTTCGGTGAAACCCACGAGTACGGGTATGGTGCTGGCAAACCTAGAAACTTAATCGGGGCGAACCGGGATTCGAACCCACTATCATAGGTTTCTGGCGTGCCCAAGGGACGCAACTCTGCACAGCGAATCGCTGCGGCTTAGACGCCTGGGCCACCCGTGCCCCCTATCATATGATGAGAAAAGTGAGTGAGTTTGGCGTTAGCAATATTCCAGCAATATCACGGCGGGGGGCACCAGAAATGGGTTCACATAATGTTCCCATGTGGGGAATCGAACCCGGTCCTTCGGCATGACGAGCGAACGCTTTCAACACTAAGGTGCCCCACCGCCCCTAAGATGCGAAGAAGCAGACAATAATTGTAAGGGTTGTCAAATAGCTCATGAGATGGAACGGTCACTAAATATGGCATCACATAATCATATCGGTTTCGGTATGTCAATTAGTGTATGCCACATTGGAAACCAATACAAATTTCGTAACAGAATATATACAGGATGAATTCACAACATATATACAGGATACTACTTTTTTTAAATTGCTACTTCATATGGAAATGAACTGCGATTCTGGATTAGTTTCCACGTGCCCACTGCCTTTAGTAATATAATTATGCATTCAAATGTTTTTTCTAATGAATTTGACATGTAAAACGTTGTTTTATCTGCTTCAAACGTCTAGTGTCCTTTTGTGTACCTTCTTAAAGTGACTATCAAAGGAGTGGTACCCAATATATATATATATATATGCGCTGGGTTGGATTGGTTTAACATCATAAAATGTGTGCTGGTAGGCACCAGACTGCTGTTTATACGATTAGAATCAAGCCAAGTGCTCCTTTAATACATATATTTGTTAAATTGCATAATTGGAAACATGACGCACAAATCATCGGTGAACCAGGTACATGACAATTACACGTTATTTTCCCGGGAGACAATTGGATTCGAAATGTTGCATTGCAGATATTTCGTAGTTTTTGCCAGAATACGAGTACTTACAAATATTTTGAACACAATATTTTTAAACGTTTACGTGTACGCGTTAGATGTACTTAAAATACAGATATATGCAAAGTTGTTAATGAATTATTAATGACAAACATAGTATTCTTGCTTACTCAGATGACATGGAAGCAGTAACAAGGCCATAACATATTATACTGTCACTGAGCGTTATTCAAATGGACTTAAAAAGTCATGAAGGGCGCGGAGTATCTATAAATTCTAGTCCATAGCCGGGTGTATTGCTTTATCATCAGGTTTACTTCAAGTGTACAACACAGAAGGGCTGACTGTACCCTAACGGGTATTACGATACATGCGGAAGGCAAACAGTGTGGTGTGTAGGCCTACCTGGGGGTGTCGTCTTGGGAGATGTTGGTGGTGGTGGTGTTGTTGTTGGTGGTGAGGGTTGCGATGTTTGGGTCGTTGTCGTCGCAGGAGATGTAGATGTTGGAGCATCTGTCTCAGCAGATGTAGATGATGAAGGATCTTGTATAGCAGTGGTTGACATTGTTGAAGGAGTGCCTGTAGCCTCCGTCATAGACGAGGTACTGCCTGGGGAATCTGATGTCGTGTCTTGAAGCGTTGTTATGGTCAGGTACACAACCTGTAAACAACATAACGAGATTTAACTCATCATGTTTGGCAGTACATGTATCTCCATCCATGACGTCAGTGCTGGCAATGGATCTGAATACTATTGGACATTATTTATGTATATTTGTTTTAAGTATTTGTATTAAGTTTTATTTATTCAGCTGCTCACAGTATCAAATACTGGTTAAAACTATTGTCAACGCACGAAGATCGTTTACCTTGAAAAGCTTTTAATACGTTATTACATATGGACAATACTGGACATAAAACCGGGCTCCCGAAATGAGACATTTTATTCTCTCGTATGGATGTGGGTTTGTTTGGCTCTCACAGACTGTTGGAAATCCGTTTAATTCAACAATATATTTAATTATAAAAACTTGCAATAGATATTTTTTTATCAAACTTGGAGAGCGGTCCTTGAAGGTAGTCCAAGGTATAGTTTATATAGGGAAATTAATACTTTGCACCCGAAATGAACCTTATTGTCATTGTTGACTTCCAATCATTAGTTTAATGCAGAGCAGGGCTACAACATTTCAAAATAAAGGAAGGTATAGTTTGTATAGGGAGTTTATATATGGCAGATGTAGATGCTGAAGGATCTTGTATAGTAGTGGTTGACATTGGGGAAGTTGTGTCTGTAGCCTCCGTCATAGACGTGGTACACCCTGGGGTACCTGTTATTGTGTCTTGAAGCGTTGTTACAACAACCTGTAAACAGCATAACGAGATTTAACTAATCATGTTTGGCAGTACATGTATCTCCATCCATGACGTCAGTGCTGGCAACGGATCTGAATACTATTGGACATTATTTATATGTTTATTTCCTGAAAGTAGATTGAGTGAGTGAGTTTGTTTTACGCTGCTTCCAGCAATGTCATGTAACATGTCCTTGAATAATGTATATATGAAAATATTTGACAGCCAGGTACAACCAATCCTTACGTATGCTTCGGAAGTGTGGGGATTCCAAAGATATGATAGTTTTGAGAAGATACACAAGACAACAAGTACTTGTGTCCTAAATGTGATTTAATAAACCATGTTTGAAAGTATTTTCATCAATGACGTCAGTGGCGGCATGACTAGTAACATCTGGGGTCAAAAATTCATGGAGATTTTCAATTCATGAAAGTAGAAGCTAAGAATTCGATTCAAGTGTTGTTCAGCAGTTACAGGAAGGCGAAGCTCTATGGCGACATAATTAGTAAGTAATTATTTTCTGTTTGTCCAAGCCACTTTATCCCACCCTACCCCACCACAGCAGCCAGACGTTCCAATCGATCAACTCGGAAGCCCTCTTGGTTGGTTGGTTTGTTGTTTAACGCCGCACTCAGCAATATTCCAGCTATATGACGGCGGTCTGTAAATAATCGAGTCTGGACCAGACAGTCCAGTGATTAATATCATGAGCATCGATCCACGCAATTGGGATCGATGACATGCATCAACCAAGTCAGCAAGCCTGACCACCTGATCCCGTTAGTCACCTTTTACGACAAGCATAGTCGCCTTTTACGGCAAGCATGGGTTGCTGAAGGCCTATTCTACCCCGGATCTTCACGGGTCGGAAGCCCTCTTGGATGACATCAGGGGAATACCTGATGAGCCACCAAATCCCGGACCAAGACAGGGAGAGCAGATCTCGGACTATCCAGCACTTTGCTTTCAGTGGCGTTTTGCAACTTTTATCACGTGCATTTATTTCGATTGTTGATGGTAGAATTAAATGACGAGGACGTCATTATTTGGGAGGGGGTAGTATATGGCCGAGTTGATTTTATTGCTATTTTGTAAATATTTTAGTAAAATCTTTTAATTGTTTTGTTTCTGTTTTGGCCTGTTTCTGTCTCAAGCTAGATTACTTGAGCAGTATAGAAACAACAACAATTAGACTAGCAGTAGTATAGGTAATGGGGGTTCTGGACCACTTCCACTGTAGCTGGATTTATATACCTATAATGCTACTACAGATGGAATTTTTTATGTCAAAATGAATTATGTGATTTAATGATAGTCATGAGATTAAGTTAAATTGGCTCCAGTTCACCACCACCTGGGGCCAATGATATAAATTTTTATAGGTAATGTGATTCAACGATGAGTCTAAATGTGATCAAACGATAGTAAGCAATCTATTTTTAATCTCCAACCAGTTCTTTGGTTTTGACACGGAATAACTGACGCGCTTGTTGCCTCCCCTGTTCTATGAACCTTTTTTTCTCGTCTTCGCTAATACCACTGGTCTTACGAGATTTTGATCGAATCTCCTGCTTCATTGCATTGTATTTGGTGAGTTCCGACAGCACTAAACGAAACTCATCCTCGGATATCTTACAATCGGCCATTGCTGTTGAAATATGATCCTCAATGCTGTTCAACTTTGCTTCGGCGAGTATCCGAATACTATCGTGTTTTAATGCTTTCTTTTGTAACCTACGAGAAATGAATCTTATCGCTATTCCTGCCAGTCCCGAGACTCCAGCGGTTATTTCCATGCCGAGCACGATAGGTGCGGCGATTATAGTTGATAGTAAACCGATACCCGCTACACCGAGTCCCATACCAGATACTACAAGCGCGGTGTCAACTCCGTCCAGAGCATTCACGACTTTGCGATACTTTTTATACAATCCAAGTCTCAACTCCCTATCCTTCCCTATTCGATGTTTTATGTCTTTTATTTGATGTAATCGAAATCCATCAACAGTTTCCATCTTTTCAAATGCTTCACCGAGCGCTGGATATAAACTCATAGTGTATATTATGATCATATAATAGTCTTTAATTGGTCTTGCTTAAATGTTTTGATAGTATACATCAATCTTATCAAATGTATATTATACGGCAAGAATATCTTAGTAAGAGAAATACTACCACTTTTAATAATTTGGACCCCCTCGAGGGTTGCAACGGGTGATGCTCCGATATGAATAATACTGCAACGTTGACGTTGGTGTTTCTTAAGCCATTTAATTGATAGACCTGGTAATATATCGAAGGCATCTTCCGGTGCATCTCCGAACAAGACTTCAATAATAAGCGTAGAAAGATTAGGTATTGCACTCAGGTTAACTTTAATTTCTTCGAATTCAGTAACCAAATTTAAAGTAACATTTTTTAAGGACGGACGACTATATAACATATGACCTGGGTTTTCTGACAGGGGAGTGACCAACACACTTTTTCGTTTTGATATAAGCCGCGAGTACGATGCCACTATTTATTATCTTAGTTAAATTATGTTCCTTACCCATCATCACATAAGGTGGGGTAATGATGATATTCAGTAGCCACTCGATGTTTGCTTCGATCATAGTCCATTTATTATCGTCGTTGTGAGTAATATTGTACGAAGTGTTTTTAAGGAGTCTACTTACATCGACATCGCTTAAATCTTCTAGATTACCCGTGAATGTGACTTCTTTCCGCTTGTATACATTATCGTGTAAGTGTAAAGCGTATAACTTACCATTGGTACCGGGTTTACCAAATCCTTCCGTGTCTCCGAGATCGGAAAGCGCAATTGTATTACATTGTCTTACTATTCCAGGGCCTGATGCATCAACCATTATTTATAATATGGAGTGTTACGCTTAAGTATCCTATATGTACAGGTTGATGTTTTACATCTAATACAGAAATTTTGAAGTCTGAAATAATACCCCGCTTCAATTTTTTATATTGTAATGATGAGAAAGATTCCGTTCTACCGCTATTATATTTTTCATCTTTCACTGGAACACTTCTAAGCAGAGTTGAAGGACTTTCTAGTTGAATATTATTTGTTGTACTGATTTGATCAAGATGGATGCACAACTCTTTATAGGGAACTAAATCGGGTAATGTCTCTCCATCTTTTAATGTATTGGATATTTTTAATATTTGTGTAAATCCAAGTGTGTTTGTTAAGTTATTGTAAGGAAATACACTTTTTTTTTCTCCAGGGTATAATTTCAGTCTCCCATTCGCCTCATTTTGTGTGAGACTAGATCCATTAGGTTTAAAAAATTCATCATTGAGTGAGCATACGCTGTAATACCCATCAGGTATAGTAATGAATTTAGGAATATCATTTTTAACTATTAATAATTCATTATTTTCTTTCGCAGCATTTATATTGGTCCACCGTGGGTAATACGTTACATCACATAGAGCTACTTCGAGTTGTCCATCCGAGTTATCGATAGTATGAAGCAGTTCAATAGACTGACCATTTGTTATTCCTGGGAGTGTAACATACATATTAAATATACAATGATACTATATCATAATTTAAATATGAAATCGAGATATATTACTAATCAATCGATTATAGTAACTGCCTCCGGTTCTGAATTTTTCGTTAAATTCCCAGATATCTTTGAAAAGTACAGGGTCACGGCAACTAGCGATAAAATGGTGCACGATTGGTTTCACAATCCGATGCAATTTTGGCAGAATCAGTTAAACTTTGCCATATGGTGTGCCACAACGGGATGTGGTGTATCTGTTAATGCTCCAGGATATATGCTAAATAAGTCTGTTTTATTATTTCATGTGTATTATCAGATTAGACGTATACTTAAAGAAATTAATGCTCCATTACCACAAGATCGAGCGTGGAATGTATCAAATAATCCGTATAATAGGGGGGTGTATGAACGTATTTGTAATGAATTTAATGTTTCTACGAGTAAAGATTGGCGTATTAAAGGAGCAAACCATGGTCTAGGTATTCCGTACGCTGGTGCACACTCTGTTAAAGAAGTCAGCGATGATTTATTGAAAAGGGGTCGGCTCCTTCCGAGCTTTGCTCTCTCAAGTAACGAGTGGAGAGATGATCGTATTAACTTTAAGGGTGGTGTTGCTTTCACCATCCAAAAGGTTGAGCAACCACCTGGAGACGCTTGGAATGAATTTCTTAATGATAAAACGGAAAATAATTTTACTAACCCAGGATTTGTAAGATTTAATGAATCGATAAGAACTTATGTATGGGCAATTCTCGGTGCACAATCGCAA